CATTTCTCTCTCTCTACATCCATTGTTCCCAGTTTAGCTTTTCCTCACTCCCTTCCCTTCCTTCCCTTCCCTTCCTTCCTTGCTTCCTTTTCCTTTCCTCTGTTGCTCCTGTATCGACCCCTCTCTTTCCTTCCTCCCTCCTTATTTCCTTCTTCCCTTCCTGCTGTCTTTTCCCAGGTGGGTGTGCACCTGTCGTTGACTTTTAAAACACTATATATTTATAGATCTGCTCTGAGCAAGAGGTGAGAATTAACTTTGCAATGCAGACGCACTGCACATGGTGTGTCTTTTTCACGCTCATATATATATATAGCCAAACTATTTACCAGGTGCAGTCAGGTGTCAAGGGAGAGATGCTCAACATGAGATAGTCTCTTCAGCATCACACGGAGAGAAACTTTAGATTCTGCAAACAGAGGAAAAATTTTGTTTTGTGCGTCTTTGTGCGTCTCTGTGTTTATTTTGTGCACATTTTATGCTGCTCTCTGAAGTTGTTTGGTAGATATTTTTCAGTTGCTTTTTGTCTGTTTGTAGTTGTTTTATCTGTCTTTGAGGTAAATATTAAAGAGACACAGTACATGAAGGGTTAATAGGAAGACAAAGATCTGAACAGAAACAGCAGCCTCAGCTCACCTCAGCTCGCCCTGCATGACTGGACTTAACCTCTGATGGGATTAAAGGTTCAGGTGAGACTCTCCTGCTGGTTCAGAGGCAGTTCAGCAGGTCACTGGGCTACACTGTGTGTGTGTGTGTGTGTGTGTGTGTGTGTGTGTGTGTGTGTGTGTGTGTGTGTGTGTGTGTGTGTGTGTGTGTGTGTGTGTGTGTGTGTGTGTGTGTGTGTGTGTGTGTGTGTGGGTGTGTGTGTGTGTGTGTGTTCATGCCCTCACGGTGCCATATTGGATTAAAGTGAACTACTTTAAGATCCAGAGCAGACTAACCACCTCTAGACTGAGACCATGAAGGGGTTTCCTAACTTTTTACCAAAATGTAAATATTAATAATGTCATTCTTTGGTGTCAGAGGCGTTCTCAGCTCTGCAGGCCGCATTGTCAACAACAGCAGACGATACGCCTAAATTTAGAGTTCAGCTGTCCGTCTCGAAGACAATCATTTCTGTGCTGGGAACTAATCCATAAATTATTTTATTGTTCAAGTCATGCAGGTCTGAGGCTACCTTAGAAGCATTTTAAGCTTCTTCTGGAGCTTTAACTCATACTAAGATTTGGATCCAAGTGTTTATTTGCAAACTGTTATTGCTTTCACACTTAAAGAAAACTCCTGATAAACTCCTGATATTTCACAGGAGGAGCTGCATGTGTGAACGCGAACAGACACATTTTTCACTCAGAGTTCACCCGGAGTTTCTCCTGCCAGACCCCTAGTATTTTCTCCGCAGCAAGTCAGAGCGAGTTGATGTGAGAACACAGCAGAATACTCTCCTGAGAATTCACCTCGAGCCAATAGGAGGGGGGAGTGATGATTATATCCTATTCTCCGCTCTATTGTTGATGTTGTCATTCTGTTGATCTACACGTAGCAGTGATATAAAGACAAATATTCTCATAATAGCGTCGTGTAGCGGACTCTGTTGCTTCGTCCGCTACTTCTGCGTCTTACCTCAGGGGGCCCCCACTCCAGTCTGACAGGGATAGTCTCCTGCTGTGAGGATCATGTGTGAACAGTCAAGTCAGGAGAACATCCGGAGCAGTCCTCCTGAAATGATCGAGATATTATCCGGAGTGCAGATTTGAAAACGAGTTATGATATAAAGAAAAGTTTTATCGCTCCCTTGAGACTGAGAGAGTTCTGAGTGAAAAGAAGTTATCCAATTAATATATTATTGCCGTTAATAATTCTTTGTGTTAGGAGCTTTTTAGAGGATTATTCTTTTTGTCTTTGCACAGTTTGAAATATGAAAATGATCAGAACAAAAACCTTTCTTCAATGCTAATCAATCTTGTGATCAACCTCACTTGGATGTGTTTTCCTCCCCTTTAATCCGGCTTGTAGAAATGTTCTTGATTCCTTGTTCTACACTGGTTGCAGTATTTATAAAGTTTTCTTTAGATGTAACTTAAAAGATGTAGATGTAAAACGCTGCCGCCCACTCGCTCGACTCGGCTCAGTTGTGCTCCACAACAAAAAACAAACCCGTGCTGCCAGCTCGACGGGATCAGCTGAGGTAAGAAACTGCAGGCAGATGGCTGAGAGTAATTAAAAGCAAAAGCAATAGATACCAGGTTTTTTATTGTAAAGCCAAAAACTCTCACTGGCTTCTGAACGCTCTTGAACACACATTATTTCACTCCCTCCCTCACTCCACTCATTCTGCTTCCTCCCTCTGCTTCCTTTCTTCCATCGACTGCATATTAAAATGGACAGCGCTTCTCCAGAATGCCCCCTCACTGACATACTGCGCCCATGTAACTGTCTTCTAACCGCAGCTGATAAAAGGTCAAAGGTCCCTCGTGTGGGTTCAGTCCAGGGCATGAAAAGATTCTTGTGTCGTCTTCCTCTAATATATGCATAAAGCGCTGCAGGAGCCTCATTTGTCAAAAGAGCTGTCAGTCATGACGTCATGAATTTTAATAATTCAAACTAAACTTCTCTGAAAATGATGAACACCTGGACATAAATCAAAAGAAAACATGTTCAAGACTATTTGACACGTCCCTTGGTTTTACAGTTTGACCCATTTTACTTCTGTTGCCATGGAGGAGGCAGAGCTTATGACCCATACTTCAGCCCATCAGCCGCAAAGACTTTAAAGTTGACCTATTCTGCTGATCCCCATTTTTAAACTCACATAAAGTGTGACAATGCTGGATGCCCAAACTAAACGTGGGCAAAAATGTTGGAGTAATCCCAGGATAAGTCTGCAGGGGGCGTGAAACAGCTTGATCTGCAAATCACGCCATAGTTCCCCGATATGAAACCAAGAATTTCATGAGACGTCTTCAAGCCTCTACGTAAGCCGTTGAAACCTCTTACAAAGACTCTCTTCTCCTAGAGCAGCCCTCCCTGGCAGCCCTGCAGCATTCTGCCCCCTAAAAGGCTTCCAGAGAGCTGGCCAATCAGAAGAGGGTGGGCACTTGGGGAGGGAGGCCTTTAAAGAGACAGAGTTCTTTGGTGCTCTTTAGGTTTCACAGACTTGGTATGTTTTGGCTTCACTTTTTGGGGAGCTGTCATGTCGTCCGTCTCTCTAAATCAGTCTACGGTTAGGTGTTAGGTGCTGAAAGGGGCGGGGCCAGTGTTGCTACAGGAAACGACTGTTCAGCCGTGTCTCTGTTTAGCAGATCCTGTGTTTACATCAGACTTTATTTTATTCAGAGCGTTTATTTGATCAAGCTGCTGACCTCGAATGATCGTCTTTACCATGGTTACCAGCAGATCTGACAGATGGAAGGTGTGTGTGTGTGTGTGTGTATGAAAGAAAGAAAGAGAGAGTGTGTCAATGTGTCTATTTGTGTGTGTGTGTGTGTGTGTGTGTGTGTGTGTGTGTGTGTGTGTGTGTGTGTGTGTGTGTGTGTGTGTGTGTGTGTGTGTGTGTGTGTGTGTGTGTGTGTGTGTGTGTGTGTGTGTGTGTGCGTGTGTTATGTTCAAACCATTGGAATAATGCCAGCCTGAGAGTCTGGAGACTAGAGCTCAGACAAGAGGATACGGAAACTGGTGGCCAAACTATCAGAAAAGAATACACACACACACACACACACACACACACACACACACACACACACACACACACACACACTTGTCACCCTGTGTGTACCTCCTGTGACAAGTTTTTATCTGTACCCATGAGTTTTGGTCGTTTTCTTGTTTTCCTCACGGTCGCCATGAGGAGAAGCGGATTGGAGGAAGGGTGTGTGTGTGTGTGTGTGTGTGTGTGTGTGTGTGTGTGTGAGATTTCATTGAAAGTTGCATCAGACCCCCAGACAGACAGATATGTGACTTTCAGCCCAATTAATCTGAAGCTTGTGAGCAGAGAGAGCATAACAAGACTGTCTGTCTGACCCCAGGCCAGCTAAGAGTGTGTGTGTGTGTGTGTGTGTGTGTGTGTGTGTGTGTGTGTGTGTGTGTGTGTGTGTGTGTGTGTGTGTGTGTGTGTGTGTGTGTGTGTGTGTGTGTGTGTGTGTGTGTGTGTGTGTGTGTGTGTGTGTGTAGTATGTTAAAATCCATGGAGTTGGTCAGTTGCGTGATGCCCTTTTCTGTCTGGTTCTCAAACATGCTGAACCCCGACCACAAGAAGACACACACATTCAAACATGCACACACACACACACACAGTGCGGCTGACCTTTAACATCATGACAACAGATATCATACTTAATGTCGCTCTTTTTCTCACAGCTTGAACTCTTTTCTTGGTTTTGTGATGATTTATTTATTTATATACACAAAACACAGTTTAAAGGAAACTTAATTTCTTACTCAGCTTTTCTGCCACACACACAGTCACACACACCCACACAGTCTCACACATATACACACACACACACACACACACACACACACACACACAGTCACACACACCCACACAGTCTCACACATACACACACACACACACACACGCACACACACACACACACACACACAGTCACACACACACATATATGTATACATGTACCGCACAGTATTACGCCTGTGAGTGTGACGGTTGCATGCATACCCAGCTCCCTTCCTTGCAGAGCCCTGGGCACTCATCGTCCAACACGCCATGAAAAAAAAAGTATTTAAATCACGTGTTCTCTGAAGAAACTCACCAGTGTTTCCAAGAGTTGTTACATATGTATGGTTGTACACTTCTTTTGTAATTTTTTGCCTCCATGCAGAGTCAGTTGTTGATTATGTAAGAAAATGCTGTTTGCACACGTGCACAAAACTCCCGAGTCTGAGCTGCATGTGTGAACGCTAACAGAGAAACTTCTTACTTTGAGTTTTCTGAACTTTTTCCACTTCTCCATTATTTCTTATTCTTCTAATTCTCTTCGTCCATGTAGGGCCACCTCCTGGTGAAGACGGAGCGTGTGCACCTCGGGGAGAAGGTCCTGCGTGATGCGGTTCAGGTCCACAGCACCTCCCACGAGGCGTGGAGCGGCCTGGGCGAGGCCCTGCAGTCCCGGGGCTCCATCCAGGCCCCCGAATGCTTCCTGACCGCCCTGGAGCTGGAGGCCTCCTGCCCCATCCGGCCCTTTGCCATCATCCCCAGAGAGCTTTAAGGGACGGGTTGGGTGAGGGCGGCTCAGTGTGTGGATGGATAATTCTTCACTGATAAAGAATGTTTTTATTTGGGACATTTTAATTTATTTCTTGTGTGATAAGGAGATCACGTCTGCTTATCTCTGTTTATAAATGAGGACGCTAAAGGAGCTATCTTAGCTCACTCATAAACCCCTCCCCCTACAAGTTGTTTTTTCTATGAATCAAACAAAAAAGATTTAGAACTCTGCAATCGTATTCTTTACCCACAGCTATGCTAGCAGTTTCCCCCTGTTTCCAGTCTTTATGCTAAGCTAAGCTAACCATGTCCTACATACAGCTTTATATTTAACAAACAGAAAGAAAGATGGACTCCATCTCGTCATCCAGACACAAACAAAATCAGTTTATCTCTTAAGGTATTTATTTTACCTCTTTTATTTCTGTAATATCTCAAAAACAAGAAATCAAAATCTGATTTTGGTGAAATAATATATTCAGTCAGTCTGATTGTCCTGAAAATATCTCATGTAAGCATTCAGTGTTGAACCTTTCATATTCTAACAACTTCCTGTTTGGATGATATTTTGATTTAATTGTGATATTTAATGTTCTTCATGGAGAAAAAGCAACAGAGGGATTCAGATTTCTGCAGATGAAAAAGTTGTATATTTAATGTTTGAATGTATTTCTGTGATTGTGTTCATCTCCTCTTGAGTACAGGAGTGGAAGTTACAAATGTTGAGTAATATATTTTGAAAATATGAATGTTTCATGTCACTTTATGGCTCATTAATTCAGCATAAAAGCACATTTTCTTCTGATGACACTCAAACCCTGATATAATGAATTACTTTTTCCCTGAAAATGTAAATCAAGTGGACTGACCACCAACTCTTTAATGAGAAACTGCGACCCAAATTTGTGATATTCTTCAACCAATGAGATTTATTAAATAAAAAAGAGTGGAGTTTGATCACAGACTGTACAAAACATGACAGAACAAAAAAAAACATTTTGTTAAAGGGCTTCACCGACTTATCGACACAATTTTTTCCAGGTACACATTAGTGACCTGCTGGAAACGGCCCTGCAACCAACTTTTGGGTCCCAACCCACCATTTGAGAACCACTGAGAAAGCTTAAAGGTCACATATTATGCCAAATCCACTTCACCATGTTTTTCTAACACTAACAAGTGTCCTCGATCCCGGGCCGATCTCCTGCTCCTGAGCGGGTAACATGATTTTCCGCCATTCTTACAAATTCTGGTCGTACGTCTGCAAACACTCACACAGTGAGAGCAAAGCCACGAGCTGATTCCCAGACTTGGGGACTTCTTTTCCATAGTGGGCGTGCACAAACTGACAGACAAGCGTCCGAAAATCACCATGGCGACAGCAGGCATGCCTGTTTAATTTTGTCTTCTTCCTCTTAATATAAATAAGTTTTGGCGTCATATCTGCAGACCTCCAGCTGACTGGAAATATTTTTTTAATATTTAGCTGCTAAGTTAGTTAGCGGTGATGCTGAGAGAGAGAGAGAGAGAGAGAGAGAGAGAGTTTTTGCCGGTGTGTGTTTATTTGAGCTGCACATATAAAACAACTGTAGTACACACTTGAAAATTGTAAATGCTCCGTCCTGCTTTTACTCGCCACAGCTTTGGTCGTCGAGTACAATTTAGGCGAACACTTCGAGCTGACATTCCGACACGACTTCCATGCGATCGTTAAGTGTACGCCCGGCTTGAGAGGAAAACAGCTCAATGGCGTCCTTTCCATAACAGAAGATGAGTTTCTATCCACTGGAGACATCAGAGGAAGATGGCCGCCTTGTGAATGGATGTGCTGCTGTATGTCAGAGATGTGCTGGTTACATTCTGAAGCAGATTGTGTTGTTGTTGTTCCTCTATATGTGGAGGCATAGATCATGTATAGGCTGTCAGTCACAGCAGCAGCTCATCTTTATTTCAGCGCCTTGATGTATTTTTGATGATGCTGTTGATTGACGCTGCTTTCATGTTCACGCACACAAACAACCTCCTCATCCTCCATCGTCCAATGAGAGCTCTTCTGTCACGGGCGTTCACACATCATTCAGAACGTCTCCATTATTATTTTTATGTCTGCGTGTGTGTGGGAGTGACAGTATGGATGCATGTGTTTAATTAAAGTTTGTCGGCGACCCGTCCGCTCGTTGTATGTTTGATGTTTGGTTTCTCTCCGTTATAAACAATAACAGCTTTAAAAAAAATCACTGCTGGATGCCAAGTCTTCACCTGCCCTGTCACTTGTGACTAATGGACATCACTTCCGAGTGCCTAACCACATTAATGTGAGCAGTAGGACTGTGCTGCCAGCTTATGTAATACTGCCAGCACTCTCTCTCTCTCTCCTCCTCTGTCTCTCTGCGCCGCTCGCCCTCTCCCTGCTTGGCTGATGTGATGTGATGTGGCTTGGTTGCCTAGCAGCCATCCTCTTGTTTGAGTAACTGGGGAAGCTGAGCGATATCTGGTCTGCAGAAACACACACACACACACACACACACACACAAACACTCAAACACACACACACACACACACACACACACACACACACACACACACACACACACACACAAACACTCAAACACACACTTAAAATGCCCGTGTTGTGTGGTTTTCCAGGCCTGACAGTGTGTGTTTGATGTCTGCTGTTACCATGTGAGGTATGAGCCAGCTATAATCAATGTCTCAGCCTGCTCTAAATTGATTTGTGTCATGGGAAGAACCTACGTTTCTTAACCCTTTCCCTCCCTTCCCTGCAGGGCTCTAATCCCCACCTCCTCAGTCTTCACACTCTCTCCTCCGTCGCCCACGCTCTCCATCACTCCCGACGTGAAAATCCCTCATTAATCAATACTTTGATTTCCACGCAGGAATTATCGATCCCTGTCGCCTCTTTTCTAGCCGAAGTCCGAGGTAAATCTATTTTTACTTTTCCCCTGGTCGTCGCCGTCGCTCCCTGGTTCCATCCTCTCCTCATTAGCACCGTGTGTGACACCTACACAGGGGCTCCGGGAGATGAATGGTCTAATCCCTGTGGGGAGGGAGTGAAATATTACATGGTGTGCTCACACAGATACACACTCACACTGACAACGAGCGCACACGTTTTAAGATATACACACACACACACACACACACATACCATGGGCTTGACAGCTCGGGTAAAAGGAGACAGATTAATGGAGGAAGCGGCCCGCTGCAAAGCCTCTCAGAATGACAACGGGCAGATGAAGCTCTATTCACTGGACCCGGAGTCCCCCCCCACACACACACATACATATACAGTATGCAGTCTATACTGTACACTTAAGATCAATGAATGCCAAAAATCTTATTGTGTGTGCATGTCTGCGTCATCGTGATGTCAGAGCACTCAGGTGTGGCTCTCTGGTTACGCCGTGTCTTCTACCTGAGCAGTTTGTATGGGGGATCTGATAGGGGGGGTTGGGGGGGTTGGGGAGGGGGGTACAGGTATCAAGTGTACAATTACTGTACATTAACTGTCTTCTACCTATATCTGAATCCGGCTCTCATCTACAGACTTTTTCTACGTCTGTGTAGCTCTCTCCTTACAGACGACAACAAGCTTCCTGTTGAGATTATTTCCCATCATGCTCCTGGTGGAAATAAAGAAGATAAGAAACAAAGGGAGCGGAAACAGAAGCAGCTTTTGTCCACAGCTTTTCGCCAGTTTGTCTTGGTTAGCGTTACAAGCTAACAGGCTGCTAGCCAGGCATTTCCCTGGATCTAACAGCCGCTGTGCTAACACTTTGTGCTGACAACTGGCATCAAACTCTGGTGTGTCCTTCAGTTCAGACGCAGTGACTTTGGGGCGTGTGCAGACTTTTTTGACTGCTGTGGCCCAACGATGGGACGGACTAATGCATGAGGTTTATGTGAATGAAGAAACAAAAGTATATTTATCCTTTCTGTCACCACTTCTGTCACACTTTAACTGCAAACATTAAACTCATCATACAGATGTTATATTCCTTTGGTGTAATCTTTGAACAGAGTGGTAACATAAATCTTCTTGGCTTAAAGTCTTCAAGGACAAAAGGAGAAGCTGTACCGACTGGAAGTCCCTACAGAGGGTAGTGAGGACAGTGGAAAAAATCATCAGGACTTCACTCCCTCCCATCCAAGAAATTGCAAAAAAAAACGTTGCCTGATCAGGGCTCATAACTTCAGAAGAGACACCTCCCACCCCCACCATGGACTGCTCTCACTGCTGGACTCTGGAAAGCGGTTTCGCAGTCTTCGATGCAGAACAGCCAGGTTCTGTAACAGCTTCTCCCCACAGGCCATAAGACTGTTGACCACAAAATAATAGTCCCTCCAACCCCCCTTCAAACCCCCACACAGGACTGTGCCACATAATATCAACCAGTGCAAGGGAATGAATCGCAGAAGTTCAGTTCAAGTGGGTGATCATACCGAGTGAGGTGTGTGTGTGTGTGTGTGTGTGTGTGTGTGTGTGTGTGTGTGTGTGTGTGTGTGTGTGTGTGTGTGTGTGTGTGTGTGTGTGTGTGTGTGTGTGTGTGTGTGTGTGTGTGTGTGTGTGTGTGTGGACTTGGTATTCAGGTCAGTGTGTGTGTGTGTGTGTGTGTGTGTGTGTGTGTGTGTGTGTGTGTGAGTGAGTGTGAGAGAGTGTCGATGCCAACCCTGAAGGGGCACACGGAGGGCACAGGCTGGGTGGTGAGGCTGCAGAGTGCCAAGAAGGAAACCATAAACCACCATTGTGATGTCCAAACAAGGCGGAGGAGTCATGGATGGGTGAGGGGTGTGATGGAGGTTATGAGGATCAGATGTGGCTCCGTAATCTCATTTATAAATAAAGCGACTGGTGCAGTAGACATATACATAGTTCATCCCCGCAGGGCGAATGTGTTCCAGCAGAGTTCAATGCACATGTTGAAAGGTTTCAAAAGAGTCGCCTAAAGGTGACGGGGAAAATACAGCATGTTCTCAGAAGCATCTCTTGTTCCAGAAGCTTTATTTTCTGATATGACTCGAGTACTTTTTAACAAGTTGACTAGAAATACTCAATAATTGTTTCCAGTAGTCATTTATCAGACTACGGTTATGACACAATATCTACATTAATCCTCAGAGGATACATACAAGCAGCAACCTGCGGGGATGAAAAATTAAGCCACTGCAAATGTGGAAAGAAAACTGCAGTTCCTTGAGCATCCACTAGAGGCTGCCCGCAAAAGACCCTGAAGTCCCATTAACACCCCATATTAACATTTTCATTTTGACAACAGAAATAAACAGCTTAGGCTTCATAGTTATTTTTATAAATTTGCAAAAATTAGGGGCGTGGCCAAGTTGACTGACAGGTCGATGCGTTGTAGCTAAGGCTCGCCTCTGCTCCACCTCTTTGCCTGTTTTTCGATTTTAGTTCATTTGAGTCAGCTTTACATTTGTTGGGCTTCAAAACGTTTCTTCAGATACCAATGTGTCATGTCACCGAGACTCGGTCCATGTTTTATACAGTCCATGGATATAAGACAAAAATTCATAACCATAAAATCTGTAAATTTAGCATGAAGAAGTGGACGTGGAGGTTACAGACATTCTGGTAAATTTTCTTTCTACCATGAAATTAGTTTGGGAAACAAGGTATTCTAATACAAAGCTACAAGCCTAGTTTACCTTAGCATAGACATTGGAATTGCAAAGCAGCTAGCTTATCTTAGCTCAACTGAAAGACTGGAAATGTCGAAAT